AGAACCATGAATTTATGTTTGATTTTTCCTTCCATTCCTTCACTTGCCAGGACCTAGTGAGTCTTTCAGAGTCTCTGAAAAGAATCTTTCAGATCTTTTCAGCGTCTCTGTCTCTCTGTCTCTCTCTTTCCTGGTTCTATAACGCCTACTGTAGTCACTCACTACTCTACCACCAGTGACCCCCTAACCAGACCCCCTGCACTCCTCTCCAATCCATCCCAGGCAATGGTCTAGCACTCCTAAAGTTCTCTCCATCTACCTTCTGACTACCAAGCTCAGAACAAACTTTGTGAATGGCATTATGAACTGCCAATGCCCGACCTACGGTACCAGCTTTGTTTTGGTTTTGTCTTTCATATACTTTCTAATTCGCTCGAACCTACCCACTCATTTGTCCTGTACTTTTACTAAGGAGCGTTCTACCCCTTCTTCCCCAGTCCTCTCCCTAAATCTTTTACTGACTACCCCTCCCCTTGTGAGCGCTTACTCTTCTGAACCTTACCAGCTCTTTTTAGTGTATATTATAACACTCTTTCCTTTCTCCCTAAGGGCAGATAGATGGTAAGCCTCTTGGGGATAGGGACTATACTTTCTCACTGCTAGATCCCCTGCCAGGCTAACTGGATATACCAGCTATACATCAGTAAAGACATGCTGAATTACAATAAATGATACTTTATTGTTAAAAATAAACCTGAAGGCAAGAGGGGTCATTGTTGGCTCAAGTTTTCCAAAAAATATGGAAGCTCCAGTTCACTCAACATACTGTTACCCTCTTAATAAGCTATCAACAACCAGCAAGTTACTCAGCCAGTGAATGTAATTCAAAGCGATTATGTCCATGAGTCACGCTGGCAGCTGGGCAGCTCTCTCTCTGGCTGCTTGGGTACAGAACACTCATCAGAGATGACTCTGGAACAGCTACAAGAATGAGCCAGTTAACCACAATGTTAGATGTCACAATTGGACCCACAACCCGAAGTAGGTTGCTATGCTTTGCAGGTGGCTGGCTTCTGTGAACAAACAGAGTTGAGGATACAGCTGCAGAGTGCCAGCCACGCCCAGAGTCTCTGATGGGCTCAAGAAGCACATTCTCCATGAGGGGTATGCACGACGGTGGTGTGTGCAATATGCGAGTTGTTGACAAGCTGTCAATAAATGCCCAAAAGTACTAATAGGTGAACTAGATCATAGATGAAGCCAGGGGATTGATTTTTTTTTTTTTAAAATACTACTTTAGAGAAAGCTCTTACGATTGTTGACCTTCTGACATAATCACGCCTACTGAATTATTTGTTACTTTACACTGGATTGTAAGTGTTCAAAAAGGAATAAACCTTATCATTTCTTTTTTTTTTTTGCACACATGTGGTGTCCACTTGTCTGTGAACATATATGTATACGTATGTGGAAGCTAGAAGTTTCCACTAAGTGTCTCCACCAATTGCTTTTCAATTGTATGTTAAGGCAACATCTCTCTTGCTAAACCCAGAGCTTGCCAGTTCTAGTCTGGCTAGCTAGCTGGCTTGCTCTGTTACTGCCTTCTACCTGCTCAGATTCCAGGCAGGCTTCCACACCTACCTGGCTTTACACTGGTGTTAGGGACGTGAATTCTGGTCCCTGCAGAACTATCTCCTCAGCTCTGACCTAATTCTTTTTTTTTTTTTAAGTGTAAAAAGGAGTCAAGTCTTAAAAATCAACTGCATCCAGTTAAGATGCTTCAGATGGCAATTATATTAAGTTTCCTAAAATAGGTTTTCAAAGAAGGGAGTATCATTAATTTAAAAAAATTCTAGGAACGGTTCAGGAGCAAACTTACAGATAGAGTGCAGGGTTTTACTTGATGGCTAATGACAATAGCTAACAGGAATGATGCATGAAAAGAAACCACATCTTATTTTTAGGTTCTGCTGCAGTTGTGCAAGAGAACAGAATAGAGGAACAATGCCCATGGAAGGCATGAAGTGGGACAGGAAGGGACACTGCAGAGAGAGGGAAGATGGGTAGATCAGGTAGTAGTGACATTAATGTCTCTCAGAGAGTGATGGGGAATACTGAGGATAAACAGTAACTGAGCACATTCAAATGTGAGGATGAGGTGCTGGCAAAGCTCCCCAGCAGTCAAAGGAGCTAATGGTACCTAAGGTTTTAATCATCTGGAGTGTAGGAAAAGACCTTTGATTTACTATGCCATTAAATCCCAATGCTTCCGACAGATTAATACTGTCAAACCTATTGTTAAAGTTAAGAGACGGTAAATGGCAGATCAAAGATCTCATGTCTGATAATGAAGCCAGGGGAAGAACACTGGCAGATTCCATTCATTTATCCATCCATCCATCCATCCATCCATCCATCCATCCATCCATCCTCTCAAGAGGTATTCAGCAGCTTGGTATGGTTAACCTAGAAGCACACAGTGAATAAAACAGACAATATCCATCTATCCATCCATCCATCCCTCCATTCATCCATCCTCTCAAGAGGTATTCACCAGCTTGGTACTGTTGACCTAGAAGCTCCTAGTGAATAAAACAGACAGTATCCATCATCCATCCATCCATCCACCCATCCATCCATCCATCCTTCGAAGAGGTGTTCACCAGCTTGGTACTGTTGATCTAGAAGCACCTATTGAATAAAACAGACAATTCTCAACCTCAGTTTCTCATCTGATGAGAAAGAGAGCTAATGAACTAAATTATCCAGCATCTAACTTGGAGATTTGATGAGTAATTTAAGCAAGATGGCCCTGGAGAATGAACAGAACAGAACTTGGCTTTACCAACTAGACACCAAGGGTAGAGAGGGCCAACCGAGTGCATGTAAAGGATGGGAAGGAAGGATCTGGACATCATCAAAAGGGAGGAGGCAAGAGGGAGGAAAGCATACAGTCTTGAGAGGGGCCAGTTGACACAGATAGGTGCTGTGGATGTGGAACATGAGATCAGGAGGACGGTTGCCAGGCAGGCTCACAGAGCCAAGAGTTGCTGTCTGTTAGAAGCGTGAGCTTATTTCAAGTACAATGGAAAGGCAAAGAATAACCTTATTTGGATTTCTAAAGGATTACACTGGTTGTTCTGTGAGAAACAGGCAGTAACAGAAATAGACAGAGCAGTTAGGAAGCATTTGTAAGATTTCAGGAGAGACACAGTTGAGGGACAGAGATGGTGGCGGTAGTGATATAAAAATTAGTTCAGAGACTGACCAGATTTGTCATTGGTGGTGAGAACCAGAGGCCTTTCTTCTATGAACTGTGCCTGATATGATTTCCTTACCATACTTTTTATATTAGAAATTAATCATATTTGCACTGTAAACAACATATTTTAAAAATACATAGTTCATACTTCCACATACAAATGCCTACTGTTGAGTTTTACCTTTGCTACTGTGTTGGGTTTATACAAGGAAGCCATGATTTTAAGCCTTGGACTCTCTCACAGAACTCTCTCACAGGTCTGTGGGGAGAACTATATAGCAATTCCAGAGTACTAGGAAGTCCTGACACGCAGGAGAAAGTCAACAAATGATAGGCAGCTCCCCACCCCTAACCCCACCCCCTACCCTTCCTCCTCCACTGTGGCACAAGAACACACAGAATGCTGTGTGTAGTACAGGAGTACACAGAAGAATGCACACTTACACGGCCGATCCAACCTCTGGAACGGCCATCTTCACACCTGACTGGGAGCATTGCCAGACAACAGATGGAATTCTCAGCTAAACTTGGGTTTCAAATAAGTGCACGCGCGCGCACACACACACACACACACACACACACGTCTTACGATTTGTCCATGAGTGTTTGACAACAATTTATCCTAAAGTTGTTAATTATTTATCTGAAATTAAAACTTAAATGGAGTATATTATATTTTAAGTTGTTAACTCTGGCAATCTTACGACTAAGTCTCCAGTAGAAACAAATTGTTTAGGATTTTTCCTTCACAGCCCATGAGATGCTAACCTTTCTCTGGATTAAATGGCTGTCTCTCTCCACTGTGGTGCTAGTCCCCAGTGTCCACATCTTTTTCATATTCCATTCATCACTTCTCAGTCTAAACAGCACATGTATGAATGTCAAACTCTAAGGCATGGATCTCATTGGGAATCTTACCACACAGTCATAAAGAATGCTGGTCTGGACATGTGTGTTTGTGGGCGGATATGGTGGTGTGGGCACCTGCTGTGTTAACCTTTTAAAATAAAGATTACAGTAACAGTGCATCAGGGATACCTTTTAAGAGTGTGCTAGACATCGTCAATTCAATCTGCATTCACATGCATGAAAGCTACTTAGATCCCACAGTGGTGGAGCCAATTATTGAATAAGCTGGAAGAGAAAGCATTGAAGTCACTCGATAATCACTGTCTATCAAAAGCTAAGAGCTGAAAATCCGTCACTTAAAAATCATCACACGGGAAAAGAATTTAAAAGTCTAAGCCACAGTTTTCTGCGTACTCCTTTTGCATAGACTCAACTGTTTCGACTTCTGTTTCAGATCGGAGGGGAGAAGTCACAGGAAATATAAATCTAGTTAAGGACATGACATGTCCTCAGCAGCATCAGGATTTGCTATTGTTTCATAAGATGAGGAGCTTTCTTGTACCAGAATGAAAACACACAACAAGGAAAGTCGGCAATTAAATGCCTGCTAGTCGATATACAAATTATTTAGTGCCATAGTTCATTTTCATTCTGCTGTCAGCTCATTTATGGCTTGTGGACTGGAAACAATACTCATAGCCTGGTGCTAGTCTTGGGACTACGTTCTTTCTAGCACTAATATATCAGACCCCAGGAATTAATACATCATATCTTCAATATGACAAAACAGAGCTAGATCTCCTTCTGACCATGTTGCTGAACAAAAGTCCTTTGATTTCACTGAAACAAAGGCACAGATATCTCCTCCATTCCTAAAAACTTCCCTGAATCTACATATCTATAAGAACAGCAGTTGCCCCAAGTTTAGAAAGAAGAGGATTGTGCTTACTCTTCTTGGCGTAAGTCATTGACGCTGCGGTCCAGCGAGATCATGTCACTTGCCACCATGTTAAATCCAAACTCCTTAATGCTGGCTTGAACTGCTGGTTTGTATTCTGGTCCCAGAACCAATGGCTTGGCTTTCTCTCCAGGGCCACCAACCACTCCGTGAGGCTCAGGTTCTTTGGGTTCAAAGTTACCGAGGACCCCTGGGCGTAGCACAGGATCATGGTAGGTGAATGTCTGAGGCTTAAAGGTAAGATACTGCCTCTGCATTAAGTCTTTTTGGGAATCTCCTCCAGCATGGTGCTCCTGTTCATTTTTGGCCTTGTTTTTTCTTCTAATAGACTCTAAGTCCACTTCTACTCCTTCAACATGAGGCCATGGTACCACAGGTTTGAATCTGTCATCCCCAGGAGCTAGTCCATGGCCTTCTCGGTTAGGCAAGGGGTTATTGACATCTCTGTCTTCCTATATAAAAGGGAGGGGATATACAATAAGTACATGAAGGCACAGTAACCACAGCAGAGTTCATGATACAAATTTTCACGTTTGAGAAAAGGCTGAGGCAATAATAAAACATTCTAAACTGGGAACCGCAAGCAGAACACTATTAATCAGGATGTTGCGCTGGAAGACATCTTTCAGATTGGAAAGGAAGCATGACCAAACAAGCTATTCAGATGTACACAGTTTTTACTTGTCTCTTTATAAACTTAACTCTCTCCAAAAGACTTCTCAGGGATTGAGACAGACACTTAATTGGTCTTGGGCTACAGCCGTGTTTTTCAGCTAGCTGGTATATGACAAATTGAACCTTTTGTTAGCAATTCGGCCATATGGTAGCAGTGTTATCAGATGGATGTCAGCCGTCAGCCAGCTGGCTCTGTGCCCCAAATGGCAGAGGAACAAGGTAGAGCTAGGCATTTGGTCCCAATTCAGGGTTTTCTACCCAGTGAGAGTTTGGCTGAATAACTACAAAAAACAAACAAAACTCAGATAACTGTAACCAAGTCAGCACGGTCTTTTAAACTACTGTCTGTGCTCGACTCTGCCACATTCCTGGTGATACAGTGAAGACCCTGCTTGTAAGAGAATTTGGAAAGGGCTGCTCTCCCTCCAGCTTGGAGCCTTCCACCTACACAGATCTTCCCATCAGAAATCCTCAGTGACTTTGCTTCTGAGGTACAGAATGTTAACCTTTTGCTAAGCTACTGCCATTCTTTTTCACAAAGCGGTGTTTCCCAACATGAGCACCATCCCAGGGGACCTTGAAGAATACGGAAGTGCCCTGCTCTCGGGCACTGGGATTTAATTGGTCTGGGCATGTGGAGTTTTGAAAGCACCCCAGGTTGTAATAGGCACCTAAGCCTGAGAACTATTAGCTTAAAGGGAAAGCATAAGCTGGTAATTGGGCACGGGTGGTACAGAGACAGCCCAGCTGGGCAGGAGGACACAAGGCTCCCTGCGAACTGCAAAGTAGGCCACCCCACACTTCAATTACGCCATCCCCTAGCAGGTCAATAGCACTACTGCAATCCTGAGAAAAATTTTAAATTGAATGACCTTGAGAATTAAAGTTCAAAACTTCATTTTAAGGAACACATGAGAGCTCTAGGTACACCACTGATATTTAGGCTGCTTAATGACTTACAATTCATTAGAGATAGGATTTTTTTGTAGTAAGTTGTTTCAGATGGCAATTTGATGGCTCAGGATTAACTTTAGAGAATTCAAAATCAATTTTTTAAAAATGATCACTTTATTTGAGTAATATTACAGCATCTAATAGGCTACAGATCCAATAGGCACACAAGGAAAAGCACAATTTCCTGCTTTTCCTTCTGTGGAAGCAATCATAGCTACCAGCTGATTATGAATTTCTCCAGAGACATATATGAATAAGTGAAAACAAAATGTAATCTCTCTCTTACATTCGCATAGAGATGCACGAAAACACCACAGTGAGACCCATTCCTTTTGTAAACAAACTGAAAACAAGAGAAGTAAATAACCAGACGGTCATCATACCAAAAATGTTCACGAAAGACTGGAGAGGCCCTCAGGATTAACCGATCATAAGAAAAGTGCACCAACTCTGCCTCAGAGGGGCAAGCACTGAAGCCAAGGTGTGGCTTGTTACACGTTACATATTATTAGATATTACAACTGGAGTGCAAAAGGTTAACATTCTGTACCTCGGAAGCAAAGGCACTGAGGATTTCTGATGGGAAGACCTGTGTAGGTGGAAGGCTCCAAACTGAAGAGACAACAGGCCTTGCCAGATATTCTTACAACCAGGGTCTTCACTGTATATATAACGTGATATTTTAACTTGGGTTATAGATGTTAGTTACACAATCAACAAGAACATATAACAAGTTACAATGAATTCCAGGAGAAACCTAAAGAACAAATAAGTGCATAAATATCAAGAATATTGGCTTATAGGGGAGCAAACAACTGTATTCTATTATACCTAGTTGTCACTTTAGTGGGCAAGAATCCTTTGTACATATTTCAAAACGGCCCAAAGATAACAAAAGTGTAAAAAAAAAATCAGAGAACTGGATGAAATACTTCAGTTGTCGGGGTCAATTCAAAATTTCACACAACTGTCCCTAAAACATGAACTATAAGGTGCAACAGAGCTGGATCATACCAGTGTGATGCCTTTCTTTCAGAAGGTACAGTTTTTGGATCAGGCCTCTGACTGGCTGCAGCTGTATACAAGCTTGACTGTAACTTTTGAGCCACATCAAGGCCAGAGGCAAATAATTAGAAAAAAAGAGGGCAGTGCAAAAAGAAGGCAGAAGAGAGGAACTTTGGGGGCGAGGAAGAGACCAGACAGAGGGTGGTAAGGACACAGGAGAGGGCTGTGGGGGAGGGGAACAAATTAAAACAACATATAATCTCTTTCTTACATACACATACATGCCACCGTGAAACCCATGACTTCTTTGTCTTTTGAGACAAGATTTCTCTGTGTAACAGAGTCCCTGGCTGCCCTAAACTCACCTCAAACTCACAGAGATCTGCCCACCCTCCCTCTGCCTCCAGAGTGCTGGGATCAAAGGCATGGCCCAGCATCGCCCAGCATGGAATCCATTACTTGTGTATACTAACTTAAAACAGTGAAAGTAAATAACTAGAAGGTTATTATGCCAAAAGTGTTCATAAAGGCCTGAAGAGTCCCTCAGGGTTAACGGAGCATAAGGAAAGTGCACGCTAAGAGTGACTAAGTCTGCAATAGAGGGGGCAAGCATTGGAGTCAGCTGTGCTTCTGATGATGGGAGGTGTCTGTTTCTTTGCCATTTCAAATGCGTACTGTGTTGTTGTAAGTGAATCACAACAGAAAGCATTAGCAAATCCTGTTGAGTACCAGGCTGGCATCACTGACATTGAACCAAAGTGAACATAAAAAGAGAAGACTTTTGTTTTTTTATGTCAAATTTTCACATCATGGGTGAAAGAACCTGTTAGAGCTGGGGAAAGGACCAGGCAGTGGATATGGAGGAACGGTCTGAACAGCCACACCATGCACTAAATTAACTACTGTCTGTCTCATAGGAGGAAGCAATAGCAGAAGAATGTGGATTAAATAACAGCACACGAAAGGAAGCTCCCAGAACCATGGGATACCTGTCCTGTGCTAACATACAAAATGCAAATTTCAGCTGGAGTGGGGGAGTATTTCTCAACTTCCCACTTCACCAAGAAAGATCTGAGACAGATTCCAACCTGAAGTATATCTTCCACTAAAAGCTCTTTGGATCTTGTCTCTGACTTCATGGTTCTTTGTCCCACTTTAAGCTGCTAGTGTTTTTTAGGGTTCTAGAAGAAGTCTGTTCTATCTTCATCCCAGGTTACCCCTCTCTCTTCTGAGCTCACCACCCAGCTTTCCACTGATGTTTCTTCTGTTCCCTTCCCTAGGCCACACCACACTTCTGGTTTCCAGATCACGCACACAAAGGTTTCCCGGGCCTTTCCATCCATCACCATTATCTCTATTTAACTCGCCCCAACAGGACCTGCTGTTTGCCTCACATGACAGACTCATCCTTGTCTTCCCTGCCTCAGACCGAGTCACCCACCGTCTATTTGGCTAATGAAGTCAAAAGCCACATTTCAAATCAACTTCCTGTTTTGTTTTTATCTGCTCTACTGACATTCCATCCCTCACGATTTCCTGTTAATTCTGTCACCCCAATGGCTCTTGAATTTGACTGCTTCTATTATCCTCTCTGCCCTTTCTTCATGTTGGCCAGTCACCTTTAGGAAAGATTATTCTCATAGCAGTACTAGTGCGTGTGGATACTCTGCTCCAACTGCTTCCCATACACAAGCTTGTGTAATCTCCTGAGTGAGGTATGACCATTATCACCCAGAAAGACCTAACCAAATGATTAGTACTGAGTAGCATTCACATCTGCACTCTGACTGGCTGAAGAGTCTCTGCTTGCTTCCTTTCTTCCACACGCACCGTTTCTCCTCATCATTTTTCCTTCACAACGCTCAGAAGGACTCTCTTATAATCAAATGTAGGATATTCACTTTGGTTGCTTTGTTTCACCCATATGGCCACAGTTCTCAGTAGATGTCTCTAACAGTACTACGGATAAGAGTTTGCTATACTCCAGGCTGTGTTTATGTAATGTCTCTATTGTTACCTAAGAGGCAGGGGCTAGGTAAGTTTTTCTAAGACTCAAACAGAGCCATCCTGGTACTATCTTATGAATTCACCAGGGTCATAACCATCCTGACTGCCTGATACTTTGCAAACCACAAGGTCTCTTGTGCAGCTCTTTAAGTCAGTTATTGTAGTGTAAAAGCCGTCACAGACACTTTGTAAACAGATGGGAACAATTATGTTCAATAAAACTTTATATGCAAAGACAGGTGGAAGATTGGGTTGTGCCCTTCAATCCTTGCACTCAACTGGGAGTCTGGTGAAGGGACAAAGGTTATGTCTCTTGTGTCCTCAGCATCTGTCTTTGTATGGAGCTCCTCAACAAATATTTTCTTGATAAATGAATCCCACAATTTGTGCTTTAGTAGTAAGAGAGATAGAAGAAAAGGAAAAGATGCAAAATGGAGGATATAGAGTTGGAACCTGTTGCGGGAAATATTAAAAAGTTGGCACCATCCTGCACTATACATAGCTACTCTCTGCCCCAACAGTCTCAGCCCCCTCTAGGCCAGCCCCAGGTGGTGGTCTTCCCAGCTCTGGTTCGTCTGCTTCAGGGCCCTTTGTTCCTTCTCAGGCATCTACCCACTGTGGCTAGTTGTCACAAATCCCCTTAACCCAGTAAATAAAAACTCTAGAAGCTTATCATTAGTCAATCAGATTTATATATCAATAAATTCTCAATTCACAAGATACCCACACAATAATTTCAGAGCCAATTGATAAAGGTTGGTTCTTACCAAAGCTGAATATTATGTAATATACAAATCTCAAAACAAAACCA